ATCATAGAATGCCAATTTAATAGAAGAAAGTATTCTTGCTTTGAGGGAGTACTTGAGTGGAGCCCCAATAATTGTGGATTCTCTTGGAGTTGTAAGACATAATACAGAGAGAGATCCCAGATGCACATCTCGACATTTCCCCCAATGGTAACTTCCTGCTTAACTGCAACACAGTGTTGCCAACAGGATAGCCACATGGCACCAGCACCCAGAGCACCCCAGGCTACAGGGACGACCATTTTAAGGGGGACCCAGGCCTTCAGGCAGCCTCCAAGATAAGGGAGTAGCAGGGTGCTGAGACGGAGGAGCTGAACTGGAGGAGAGAGACCTTGAGGGCCATGGGTGGCGCCCTTAGGGTGCTGCCAGGCAGACAGATAGCCAATGGGCAAGCAGGGCCTGAGGTCTTTCCCATCCCACACTTTTAGGTGCTGTCTCCAGAGCTGTGGGTGTCTCCTCACTGCAGGGGTAGGAGACGTGGCTGTGGGACCACCCAGCATGTAGGGCTACAGCAGTGGGCATACCAGGGTCAGTGAGAGAGACCAGCTGGAGACCCAGTCTGCTTTGGTGCAGTCGCTGGCATTCCGTCTCTCCAGACTGGCCCCCAGGTCTCTGGGTTCGTCCCAGGGTTGAGGAGAGGAGTGGGTGGCCCCTATGGGGTGGCAGGACCTCCCCAGCCAGCCCTCTGGCCCCTGCCTCCATAGCAGGGAGCCACGTAAGAACCAGAGAGGGTCTCCTGGCGCAGATGCTCAGAACAGAGTCGGAGAAAGCCTGGCCGCTGTGTGGAGTCTGGGCCCTGGTGGGGCCTGGAGCTGTGTGCCCGAGTAAAGTGAAGACAGCCAGGGGTGAAGGACAGTTATGGGCAGGGAGCACAGAGGAGCGGGCTTGACAGGGAGTCGGATTTGCCCTACAATGGTGCCCTTGGGCGTTTTGTTTTTATCTTGATTCAGTGTTTAAACAGCGTCATGGAGCAAATAAAAGTGACTCAGGTGTTGCGAAGCTCCTAGCTGAGCTGGTGTGCGCTTGGCAGCGATGCTGCTGTCTCAGAGCTGTCCCTAGTGATGCCGGAGGTTGCTGCAGCATTTCTGTAGAGGCGAAAGACCGGGGTGTAGGATTGGTTGGGGCGTAGGGTTGGAGGTCTTGGAGGCCAGGAGGCATTGGCTGTCGGCTGCCTTCTGCTGGCTCAAGACATGAAGTCAAACCCTGGCCTTTTCAGTTGTCAGACCCATGTGTAGCTGTCAAGTTTTAGAATGTAAGATCCACTCAGGGTGTGAGGCTGTTTGTGGACGGGGTGGGGACCGGCATGGGAGGCGGGGCCTCTGCTGAGCACCCCCCAGACCATTCCCTGGACGTGCCAGGCCCCCTGCGCCACAGGCTTGTTTCCTGGCTGTGGTGTACAAGGGTCAGCCCTTTGCTCGGGCAGCCTCATTCTAATAATCCTTCCCCCATGGCAGGCTTTCTTTGTAGGCCCCGGGAACAAATACGGAGAGCCGATCCCCATCTCCAGGGCCCACGAGCACGTTTTTGGAATGGTCCTCATGAACGACTGGAGTGGTAATGATGGGCGCTGGGGGCCCTGCGGTGGAAGTCCCCGTGCCTTCGGCTCTCTGGCTGGGTATTCTCCTTCCCAGAAGCCAGCAGCGCTTTTCTGGGACTGGTGCTGGTCCCCAGAGACAGGCAGTATGGTAGCCGAGAGGGTGTAGGCTTGGATATCAAACAGAAATCCCAGCTCCTGAGTTAAGGGCCTGTAACTTAGCACAAGCACAATAGGGACACAGCGGACACCGTAGCTAGTCTTTATGCAGCACTTGTTATATACCAGAGGAGCCCTGGTGGTGTAGTGGTTACGCATGGGGCTATAATCTGAAAGGTCAGCAGTTTGAAACCCGCAGCTGCTCCTAGAAAGAGTTACAGTCTCGGAAACTCACAGGGACAGTTCTCCCCTGCCCGATAGGGTGGCATGAGCTGGCATCGACTGGGTGGCAGTAGTTTGGCATTGTTATTATGTACCAAGGAGCCCTGGTGGTGCAGTAGCGAAGTGCTCCGGCTCCTCCCCTGGAGAAAGAGATGGCAGTCTGTTTCCATAAAGATGCCAGGCTGGGAGGCCCTGTGGGTGACCCTGCTCTGTTGCGTGGGATCACAGTGGGTCAGAATGGACTTTGGGGCAGTGAGTTTGGGGAGCTGTGCTGAACGGCTCAGGTGGGCTGTCCTTTGGGATCCCTACGGGATACGGGTAATATTTTTATTGCTGTTTTACAGAGGAGGAACTGAGGCACAGAAAAGTTTTAGTTGCTGAGCTCAACTTTGGAGCTAAGCAGCCAAGCTTCTGGGTCTGTGTGCCATGCCATAGTGGGAGATGGCTCCCTGAGTCCCAGGAAATGTGTGCCTCCCTCGGGGTGTAAGGATGAGCTTCCAGCCCCTTGTGGGAGTGGGCAATTCGACAGCTCTGGGTCACCATGGCACAGTGACCCCAGAGGACCGCTGCACTGTGTGGAGGCTTCTGCTGGCTGTGCTCCTGGTGAAGGGAGAGGGAGCCTGGGACAAGGCCTGCCAGCTGCTGTGCCCTCACTGTGCCCTCGCCTGCAGCTCGAGACATTCAGAAGTGGGAGTACGTCCCCCTGGGGCCGTTCCTGGGGAAGAGCTTCGGAACCACCATCTCTCCATGGGTGGTGCCCATGGATGCGCTCATGCCCTTTGCCGTGCCCAACCCAGTGCAGGTAAGTACACTGGGACACCCCTAGACCCAAGCTGCCATCCGGGAATGCAGACACCCCGGGAATGCAAGCTCTGTGCTCACAACCTGGCCATCACCAAGTGCCCTGGGGAACCTGGTCACCTGACCTCCAGGCAGCCCTGTGCCCTCCCCACCCCCTGCACAGTGCTTGGTGAA